TGTAATTTTCGATTTTCTTTCCTCAACGTTTAAGACATTGTGATTTAAATAATATCAACAAAATTTCTGTGAAAAACCGAAACCGGAACGAAACCGAAACCAAAACCGAAATAAATTTTGAAGAACGAAACCAAAACCGAAACCGAAACACTTGGCAAAACCGAAACCCAAACCGGAACGTTATTTTGAATCGGTTTCATTCCTTGATTTATACTAGGTTACAGTGGTCACAAACGACGGATATGTGCGCGGACATGCTCTGCTTGTGGGGCGGTTCACAAAAAAAAATTAAAAAAATTTGATTTTCAGTGAGCATGCTCGTCGTTTGTGGCGGAGTTTGCGAACATTGCATTCCAAAAAAAAACCTAATTTTGTTTTGATGCTTGTAGTGTGCTCATCGGCGGATAAGTGCATCCAAGCTTTGTGCGTTATTGAATTGTTGGTAAATGAGGCTTAATTACTGTATGTATATGTATGACATACATAGAAATAAAATATAAATAAACGTATGTAACACATACATAAAACCTAAGTCATAAGCATTTCAGTTGCATCATCCGCGTCTTTGCTATCCATCTTTTCGCTATCATGACAACGACAGCGAGCATGTTGGCGATCATGCTCGCACACATGTTCGTCGTGTGGCCACTGTAACATATACACTGAAGAGCAGAACTGGAACAATAGAACGGAAAGTTAAATTTGTGGTAATGTACTTTTTAGTTTATTAACTTTATTGTAATTCAAATTTGCATTTCTCTTTACCGATGTTTAACTAAACGTCAGACAATACAAGTTTTAATATTCGCATATGGAAACTCAGAAAAAAATTACCAAATAAAAATGAACTGGATTGTACCACTTTTGCAACCTCTTAGTAATTGCTGAATTTTTTAATTCAAAGAAGAGTTCTGACTTATTTCCTGAAATTTTGTAATCAAGGCGCGTGTGATTATCGGTGTGAATGCACATACTAAGCAAGAAATAAAATATACGATAAAAAAGGAAAATCATATAGGCCAAATGCCCGTTCTATGGTTATCTAAACGAGCGATAAGAGGATGTACCCCAGTCTGCAAGGTCAAGAGACCTTAAAAAATGCAATTGGCCATGCTAGGAATATTGGAGGATCTCTGAATACCAATAAACTTTGGTTTCAAATCAAAAATTAATGCTTTTTCACCACAAAGGAAATGACTGGACATTATGTAAGACGTATTTGCAGCACAAAGATAAAGAGGAGAAAGCCTGCCTTGACAACCGGAATCATTTTTAGCCAGAAACGCATATTTACAAAAAAAAAAAACATTGGATTGGTATTATTTTGAAGCGCGCATTTACAAGTTCGTCACGGCCAATCTATTCCACCAAAATTTAATCAGCCTTATATTACATTTACATTGAGCCCAAATGCGTCATTTGGGCGAGAAACCTCAAATGCGAGGCCAAATCACGCATTTCTCCATACAAATTCACATTTCCAGAATGACGCATTTCGACGCATTTACACAAAATCACGAAACAAATGCGTTCCAATTGCCGTACTATTTTATTGAACGCACTCAGAAACAAAAGTTCCACAAAAGCTTTGGTTTGTCTTTGACATTTGGAATTTTTCAAACACAAAACAAACACAACGAAATAAATAAATCTTTGAAATTTGTGTGTAAAAATTGTTAATTTATACAAGAGCTTTACACATTTTTAGTTTAATCAAAGAATAATTGCCTTTTTGTGTCCAAAAAGCGTTAACAATATAATAAATGTAGTGTTTGTTTACATACATTTTGTTTTTGTCTTCCCTTTTCATTTGATGAGAAGTCAAAGCAAATGCGGATCAAGCAGTGTAAACACCTTCAAATGACTGATTTCAAATCACGCATTTTGGTCCAATGTAAATGTAATATTATCATTTCCCCGAACCGGTTCACTTTCCATTTTTTTGTTTAATTTAT